TCTGTGGGGCGAGCCGGAGAGAGTAATTCCATAGCCTGATTGGGTTGAGTATTCCCAGACCGAAAAACCTTGGAGGCCGTGAGTCCCGCTTTGGAAGTCCTAGGCCGACGCCCAAATACCGTTCATTTCACCTGCGGACTTGTCAGCACAAGTCCACCGGTCCATAGAGAAATTCGGCCAAATCGTCCGATAGAGAGCTGACTTTCCATATTCTTGGAAGCTTGAGTATACATGTAGACTCCAGCCGGAACAGGAAAAAAGAGGCGAGGGCATTGCTATGATGTTGGATGTTCAAGTAAAAGTTAAAGTTACAGTTACAGTGGCAGGCATTGAATCATAGCGGTGGTCCGTGCGTGGGAGATCAACAATTATGGGCGCTTCGGTACACAGTGAGAACGTGCAACGGCCTTCGTCTGGAGTTGCTAGTTACAATCCTGATGTTTGGCGGTTTCTGGTGATTCCTCGCAATTTCGAACCCGTCCAATCTCGATGAATACCTCAATGTATCTTTGGATATTCTCCATACTCATTCTCACAACATTGCTTGGCCGCGTGTGGGCGATTTTACCCTCTGGATACAAGAAGCATGACGGCACGAGAAGGACACGTTCGACTGTGAAATTGGCAGTTTTTCTGGGCTCTGGTGAGTTCATAACAGGGATGAGCATTATCGCAATGACTGAATTGATGCTCAGGTGGACATACAAGCGAAGCTTTAAGCTTGCTCTCCGCAGTCGATTTTGAACGGTACACTCCAAGGGTCTATGTAATCAGTGAAGGAGACGCGCTGAGTGCTCAGAAAGCGAGCGATTTGGAGCTACGGAAAGCTTCTTCGAAGGTTGCTCTGCTCACATCCAGGCTTGCTAGCTAACTTGCCAACTACTCAGAACCAATATACGACTCTAACAGTACCCAGGGCTAGAAAAGTCCATCAGCCATTGCTTACAACCCCATTCTCCGCGTTTCGCTCTCTCCTGACGTGTCTCTATTATGTCACTCTGTTGGCTATCCTCGGCGACCCTTTTGCGGATGTCCTGATCGTGAATGGTCCAGGAACATGCTTCGCACTATGTCTTCCAGTCATTCTCAATAAGGTATACTCTGACCTGGATCATCTAAACTATAGGCTAACCTTTTTTGCGTAGATTCTGGGCCTCAAGGCGCCTCGGGTTATTTACATAGAGTCATTTGCGAGAGTCAAGAGATTATCGCTCTCAGGAAAACTCCTCCGGTATATTGCAGATCGGTAGGTGTCAGGATTTTATAAGCGGATTCGTTTGAACTCCAACCATGTTGCGCAGATTCATCGTACAATGGCCCACGTTGTTGAAGGATGGCAAACGAGGGGAGTGTCGTGGTTGGCTGGTCTAGTAGTCTGGGCCTATGCGGGGAGTTGAGCGGCCCTTCACCATCTCCGAGTCAGTGCATGAAAGACATGATATAAACATACAACGTCGTAATTCAAGTATGTGCATAACTCGAGCACTACAGAGGATTTCATATAAATATATAAATAGGTGCAACGGGCAGCATGAAGAAAAAACTCATCACGCCCTGCTCCGAATCCATCCCAATCCTACGATGGTCACGTCTCAGCCTGAGCCTCAACTTGTCTCTTCTCATTGTGATCACGACGAACCTCCTGCACCTCGTCTTGAGCCTCTTCCTGCTTTTCGGACTCTTTTTCCCGTCGTTTCCTCTCGTCCGCATCGGGAATGTCAGAAAGGAATACAGTGAGGACAAAAGCGATCGCAGCCCAAGGGACCAGCGAAATGAAGCACCACCTAACACCATCCCTGAATGCCTCTCTGATTACCACTTGGACATCCTCGGGGAGTTCTGCTATCTGCCCCACAGAACCCAGTCTGCCGGTGAACTGAAGTCCCGCACCAGAAGCGTTATTGGAAGAGAACCGGCCTTCGGCAACGGCACGCGTGATGTACAACCTAGCGCGAGTGTTTAGGACGGCACCGCACTGTGCGAGACCAACCATGCCACCAAACGAACGGAACTGCAGGCAGCGAGTGCGTTGAGGACACTGAAATGGCTGATGAAGACTAGTGGTTTACTCACGAACAGCATCAGAGCCGAGACGATCGCAACACGTTCTTCGGGTTGTGAGAATCGAGCGTGGATGTTCAGCGTACCAATGTTCATTCCGACGCCAACGCCCGATAGCGCGAGAAACCTGTAAGAGGTTCTCGATGAGCCAACGTACTTAGGGGCGTCGCATTGGGACGACGTACACGTTCACTAGGACTTGTTTGCCTTGCTGTACACCTAAGGAGATAAGACCTAGAGAAATTGGAATGATGAGGCTGCCAATGATAATCGCATATTTAGGCTGGTTAGAAGGAGAATGAAACAATCAGCATTCGAAGGTCCACTGCCAGGCTACAAACTAACCTGTTTGAGAATGGATGTCATCCTCAGGGCTATGAACGTCCCAACGCCACTGCCGGGCGCAAAGTAAATCAGCTGTATGCCCGCCTGGCGTTGGTCCAATCCATTCACGATCGTCATGAATATCGCCACAAAATAGAACATGACAATCATCACCATGCCTCCGGCAAACGAGGCGGCCTGGACGGTCACAACGTCGTAGTTCCGGAAGATTTCGAGGGGAATCATGGGATAAGCCGATAATACTGAGGTCTGAGCCTTGCTGCTGGGCACGACCCTGTCCTTTTGCTTTTCCAGGACGTATTCCCATATCGCGCAAGGTAAAATTAGAATTCCACCTATAACGAAGCATACGATGACCTTGGGACTGTTCCACCTCTCCGTAGAGCCCCAGTTCAACGCGAGGAGGAAGAGGATAGCTCCGACGACGAAGAAGAATGCGCCAATCCAGTCGATCTTGAAGAATTTTGTCATGAACGACGGATGAGCTTGTCCAGCGGGAAGCTCTGACTCGAGGACGAAGCCTTTCTTCAGGTGCTTCCTCAGAAGGAAGAAGAGCAGTAGCATCGATACAGCGCATGCTGGAAGACTAACGCGATTTCGTGTCAACGAAGTTGTACAAGAAGAGATAGTACGAAGCTTACTTGATTGCGAAAATCCAGCGAAATGAGATGTGACCTAGATACCCACCAATGACAGGGCCAACACTATACCCGATAGAATACAACAGGAATAGTATAGCTATCTGCCAGTTGATGGTGCTGAGGGATCCAGAGTCTGACAAGATCGTTCGTACGACCTGATTGGATATGGTTTCAACCCTGGCTTTGTGGGGCTCGGGTACAGAGACTTACTGTGAGCAATCCGGCGGCTCCTATGCCCGCAATGGCACGACCTGCCAGCATCATCTCCATATTTTTGGCACCAGTGCTCAACGCGCTCCCAAAAATGAAGAACACGAGGGACGACTGCATCGCAAAGTGCCGCCCGTATATGTCGGCCACTGACGCAAAAAGTGGGAGGAAAACAGTCGACGTGAGAAGGTACAGGGTGCCAATGTAGCTGCTGAGATTTAGCTTCGAATGAACGAGACTGAGACCTGAGGATACTTGTACCTTTGAAGGTCGAGTCGGTCGAACGCGGACTGATCGCAATAAGTTCGGAGCAAGATCCCTTCTCGTTTACAATAAAAGACATACAGCGATATTGGTTTGAGCGGTCGCAACGACTGATTAAGGTGTTTCTAGAAGTCAGAAAACGCGTCCTTCAAGACAGACGTCGATACGGTGCTCACCCGTGTAATCCAAAGTCTCTAGGAAGATAGGAATAGCGAGAGAGAGGGTTAGTTTGGCTAGAAACTTCCATTCTTCAGGACTAGTCTTCCTCTTGGGCTTTTCCAATTTTTGGGAAGGGGAAGATTCTGCCAACGTCTCTTTCGAGTCCTTGGACTTGGAGAATTTTCGCCTGAGGTATCGATAGGTCCAGATAATCATGGTGCTGAAGAACAACAAGAATTGTCTGACAGCCTATAAGGCCACAGGCACCGACTACAGGAGGGTTTTTTATAGACATGGAGATGCTGCGCCTGTCAAAGACTGAATAGGATGGGTAGACCTGGTCAACCATGCGTGGGAGTCCAGACTGAGATACACTGCGCGCTTTGACGGCATCGGGCACACGTTCCCTTCGCCCACAACATGACCATTTACAGCTTTTATATTTTCGATCGGTGAGTGCTCCTGGAATGGCCATAATAGCTCACATTTATTCAATCAATCTTGTAGGCACTGTACTTGTGTTTACTATCAAGACTGGCATCGTACACGTCGTCCAAAACCTGCAGTTGAAGGAACTCTATTGCCTGCAGTCTCTCAAGCCGTGTCACAGCCTAACCCCAACTCGACGGAGCCCTCCATCGCCACGTTCGGCAGTCCCAGAAACACGCTCACGTCGTCCAGTGGTGTCGTCGTGGCTGTGAACGATCTGAACACCAATTCAACACCTTCTCCATTACTCCAGACCCCAACTTCACCGGTCGCGGGAGCAGATGGCTTAACAAGCACGGGTCTTTCGTTTGATGAGGAGGCGAAGCTCGTATACGGTGTGGTTCTTTCGCTGCGGAATATGATCAAGAAGATATCGGGAAGGTGTGTTAATCCGCACATTGACCTAGCTATTTCCGACCTCTACTTACACTGTATGCTGTAGAGATGAACAATTCGTCAACTACAGGACGTCTTCATACAAACTTCATCTTTTTGAAACCGTCTCGGGCTACAAATTCGTTCTTCTCAGCGACCCTGCTGCTGATCCTGCGGGATTACGCTTAGCTCTACGTGGAATCTATGTTGGACCCTTCCTCGAATACGTCGTACGCAACCCTCTGGTGACCATGGACTCCAAAATGCATGGCATAGACAATGAGTACTTCAGGAGTAGTGTCGACCGTGTAATGAGAGGATTGTCTTCGTTTGTTTGACTACTTTCATGGCTGGAGGACTGGGACTACGATATCTGGTATTGAGACCCAATGATCGCATGGGAGGGTAACCAGTTCCGGAAAATGTATGCGACGGGAAATTAGCTTCAAAAACAATTTCCGTTACAGGGAATCGAACCCTGGGCTATCGCGGAACCACCGTAACGTATGATGAGAGGCGATAATGTTAGCCACTACACCATAACGGAGTCAAACGGGAAGGTAAAGAGCCCTTCACATGTTGGACGCCACATCCAGGGTCCGCTAACAATTTATTATCAGATACTGCTACAGATGCCTGCAAATTCAAGTTACCCATGTTTGATTTGTGTACAAGTTTGTATGCTAAGTCAGTGATTCATTAAATGTTACTGTAACGCCGAGGAGTGTCTTCTAGAGGTTGCATTCGAACGCTTACCGTCTCCTTCCCCCACCCCCTCCCAGGATGACAAGCTTGTTACTCTTCTTCTTCCTGCCACCGTTACCGCCGTTACTTCTCTGCTCGAGCTCATGCCATGCGATGTCCATGTCCCACTCATCTTCCTCCGTTTGCTGTCGTGCTCTAGATGCACTCCCTGCATTCCTCGACTGCGGTGGCGTATTCGAATGCAACGCCGAAGCAAAACTCTTCGTGCCCCACACACCAGCCGTTCTTTGGTCTTCCGACGGCGGCTGCCGAGGTGTGGCGGGAGCTGGTGCCACCGAAGCAGCCTCCTCAAACCCAGGGAACGAAGCCCCATCCATGAAAATTACCGAATCATCCTCCCCACTCACAAACTCTGTCGACATAGCCGACGGCGTAAACCTCCACTCAACCGCAGCCTCATAATCCCGCTTCTCCTTCTCCCTTTCTTCAGCTCTCGCCCTCGCCTTCTCGTCTTTTCGCCCCTTATCTCGACGCTTAGCTTTCCGAAGCCGAAGTGCCCCTTCAAAGTTCTTCAGCCCCTCTTTACCAACGACGTTATGAAGATCAGCTTCGACAAATACTACGTCTGCTCCTTCGGGCATGTGGGCGAGGTATTTGCATCGCTTGCGCAAGTCGTCGTTAACCGTGCCCTCGGATAGTGCTTCGATACGAATAGTGATGTTATCCGGGAAAGAGGAATAGTTGCTAAAGTGAGCTAACAGTATCCGAATGTCGAGTGGATGAAGGTAGAGCGGAAGCCCAGAGGCCGCTTGATAATAATAATATGTAGAGGTGGTCGGAGGGGGAGGATTCACGTTGCGTCTTTGTTTTGGGGTGGCACGAGGATTATGATTATTGCGATTTGTCGTGTTGTTGCGCCTCGAATCGGGGGACGGGGTAGCCGGTGTGGGTGGGGTGGCAGGTAGCGTGGGCGTTATAGTACCAAACTTGAGTGACAGCATTTCCTGGGGAACCTCTTCTACATGGGAAGCCTCGGTGTTGACGATGGCTTGAGCTTTAGCTTCCTCTTCGAGTCTACGTTGTTCGCGATACGTGAAACGGCCTTCAATTTCGCGGTGATCTCGATTAGACTTTTCGATCCTTTCCTGGAGGCCAGGTGTGTCCAAAGCGGTAGCTTTGATGATCTGGTTGCGCACTTTGGCTTCAGCCGCGTCGATGAACGACACACCGAGGTCGTCGTTCATTCCACCAAGTAAACGCCGTTCGACGGCAAGGTCGTCCAGGTCTTTCGTCAAATCAGACACGAGCATAGCAGGAGTAGCGAGCATGAATTTGGCGTAGTTGTACACGTCGGGAAGGAAATGAAACGGGGCTTGGTGAGGCGGGAGCAGATCCGAGGGCCATGTATGAGATCGAGGAAGAGCAAGCGTCGTGATTTGTGGGCGTTGGATGAGCCGCATGGATAATGTACCTCCGACTCGGGGAGATGCGTCGAAGGGAGCATTGGAGGCTGAGCTCGAGGATGCTGCCGATGACGCCGCGTGCATATCATCGCGGTCCGTAGGACCGTCGAACCATTTCACGCTCTTGAGCTGAGCTGAAGTTACAGAGTCGAAGCAAATTGGGCATCGGGCCCACTTGTTCTCTGAGGTCCCGAGATAATGAAGGATGCATGGGAAACAGTATATCTGGATTCGGTGTTCTCTGTTAATTTAGGGCCGGATACAGGTAAAGAAAGCGTACGAACGTGTCCACACTTGGTCATCCTGGGTGCCGTCGGAGGAGAAAGGCAGATAGGACACGCCGTGTGTCCTTCAGAGTCTTGGTTTGCCGCAGCCGACGCCAGCGCTGAAGTGCGGGGGATGATGACCTGCAAGATATCGTTCCACTGGAAGTATCTGTTAGGAGTCCAAGTAAGTCTGAGATCGTAACAGATAACTAGAATGAACTGGCATATCAGGGTCCGCAAAATGCACGGTATAGTCTCCCATTGGGTTCATCACGAAGCGGTATTGAGCATTGACGAATCCTTCATGATATCGAGGGTCAGAGATAGCTGGGTACGAAACCAGGAGACACAAGAGAACATGACTACTCACGTTCCTTATTCCACACCCCGAACTGGTTATTCGTCTTCCTGCTCCTTCTAGGGATACTTTGAGGAGGCTGAGACTGCCGGGGAGGGAGAGTGAAGTTCAGGAGATGGTTCAAGGACTGAGTTGAAGCCATTTTCGCCGGACGCTTCGGAGACGCAGCATTGGCGGTCGGGGTCGTTGCCATCGACGAAGGCAGTAATGAACAGAAGAACTCGATGTTAAGGTCGCTGAGAGAAGCTGAAGAGGGAGTGCTGAACGTCGAGGACGACGTCGGGAAGCCCTACCGGTGGGAAGGGCGACCGCCAAAGTCAAGCTATGTCATGACTCTGTTTTGCTCCGTATAACTCTTCCCACGTGCGCGGTCCCGCTCTCTCCCTTACAATCCATGGCCAAGGGTAAAAGTGTCAACCCAGCGGACGCCTATAGTCAGTTTCTTCTGCAGAAATAGCACGTTGTTGTCGCTAATCATAATCCAGGAAAGGCGCAGAGGAAGAAGGAGATCAAGAAGGCGAGCAACACGTTGCTTTTGTGCCGTGTTCAAAGCTCATACGCGGTCCTGCAGTAGAATAAAGCAGAGCGTTCGAAAGCCAGGGACTTCGCTCTTGTGAAAAAGGATACATCTGGTATGTCTGGTCTCGAGAATGTTGAGCTACCTTAACGCGTAATAGATCTCCAGGATGAGATTGAAAAACTCGAGGGATTGGAGAAGCCTACTGCAGACGAAGCAAACCGGTTGAAAAGTCTCAAGTCTGAACTAGAAAACATCAATAAAAAGAAAGAGGAATATGTTAAGGAACATCCGGAACAGCGACGAATGGTCTTCAAAGGACGAAGGGACAAGAACGACGGCGAGAAAACGCAGGAGGAGGTTGTCATTCCAAAGAAGAGGAACCTGTTCAAGAAAAATGGGCTTCCTAGGCACCCAGAACGAAGTATTTATTACGATCCGGTCATGAATCCTTACGGCGTCGCACCCCCGGGGATGCCTTACATGGAGAGACGTGAGCTACCTATCCTGTTCACAAACGTTCCCAACCGAATTAAAACGTTCTTCTAGCCCTGTTACCGGGGGAAGTCGATTCTGAAGCAGAAGAAAGTGGAGGAGACGGTGGGTGCTGGTCTCATTGTACAACTGGTTCTCTTCCTGACTTCCGTTCTCTAGATGATGACATTCCTATGCCTGAAGGTCCTCCTCCAGGTATTCCAGAATCCGAAGAGCTGGTGAATGGCGACGATGATATACCCATGCCTGAAGGCCTACCCCCGGGAGAAGAAGCTGTACAAGGTATTGAAGTTCATTACCATACATTTATAACACCTTCTCACAGGAGCGTAAACAGACGATGAAGACATTCCTCTTCCACCCGATGATGGCCAACAATCATTCCCTCCTCTACCCCCCGTTCCTCCCACTACAGGTCCTGGATTAGTTCCCGGGATTCCGATGCCTCCGCCTGGCTTTCCAGCAGGCATTCCGCCGCCTCCGTCTGGGTTCCCTAATATTGGTATGCTACCACCACCACCTCCTGGTTTTCCTGTGGGTGTACCACCTCCGCCACCGGGCGCTCCGTCAAGTTTCCCTCCTTTCCCTCCGTCTCTCCCATCTGGTTTCAATCAACTACCCCCTCCGGGATTCCAGCCGCAAGCGCCTCCAGGCTTTTATCCGCGGCAAATGTCTGGATCTGCGATGCAAGATCCCCTTTCTTCTGTCCCTCACCAAACATATCAAGCACGTCGTGCGAGTAAACTGTCACCGCACCCTTCATTACCTGCTAGACCCAATACCGACCCCAGTGGATCTGCGCAAACGCAAACTATACCGTCATCCTCAGCCACCGTCTCCGCGGCGCCTGAACTAAGGGATTTCAAGAAGGAGGCCACCGCTTTCGTACCTACAGCTTTGAAACGAAAGCGGGCCGCAGGAACTTCCAGAGTGAATGCTGCCCCAGGGGTCGAGGCTGCAGATGGCGATGGAGATAGTACGGAGATGCCCGCTGAAGGTCCTGCTCGTCCCGACTTGTTGAGTACGATCCAGAACCAGTTTGGGAAACCAGCGGAAAATCCCGGCAAGAAGACGAAGGTTGACGAGGCAAAGCCAAGGAAGAAGGATGACTATGACAAGTTTATGGAGGAGATTGGAGATATATTAGGACCTTCATAGTTATCGTTTAGTGCCGCAGTCCTAAGTACTTTATACACACTGAGGAACCAAGACGGAGCCTACTCGCACGACGATAATACCCTATTTGAAATTGATTCTGATTTCTGTCATGATACTCCCATCACCCGTGCTTACATCGCGAACTCAATTCGGAGGTTCGGGTGTGGGTATTTACTACCTAACCTCATGCACACAAATTACACAGTCATCATCAACAGCTCTGATGTTATAAAAAGGACTTGCCGAATCGAGTCCGCCCTACAACATTTATTCCCATCATGTCGAGTCGGACCTCACTGCTGAGCCCTCGACCCTTGGAGACAAGTGCAGGAAAGCTCCTTCTCTTACCTCTACTTCCGGCTCCCAAATCCATCATCCTACCGTCGGAAATATGGATCAATATATTCCAACACTTAGCGGGTATGAAAGGAGGTCGGGATACACTCTGGAAGTTGATGTTGATGTCGAAGAGCTTCAAAGTGCGTATGGCAGTGGTACTACGTCAGCTTCGGCTAACATGGTGTACGATTTTGAACAGGATGTAGCCCTCCCTTTGCTCTATTCCCAAGTTCGAATTCATAGCCT